CAGTGGCTATGGTAAGCAATACTAATTGGAGCAATACTAATCCCAGGCTCGGTGAATTTGTAGTCGGCTGCCGCTTAGCGTAATTTAAGGTTTAGCATTTGGCAAAAGGGACAAAATGTTATTTCTCCCTGCTGCCTTCACGAAACTTGAGACTAGAAGGTAGCAATTAAGTTCTGTATCTGAAGCTCAACAGAATTACTTGGTGTAGCTTCTCAGAGATGATAAGCAACGTTAGCCAATTCTGAAAAAAGAATGTTAACCGCTAGAACAACCTCCGTAATTGTGTCGTTTAGAAATTCTTTATTCTGTGTGTCGAAAAACCGCTAGACAAAACCATGTTTTCAATGCACAATGGAGGATTGGTACCGCTGGACGATTTCAAGCAGCAGCTGATTCTGAAACCATCGTCCATTCTTTTTGTGCAGGTGAGTTATGGTTGGCGCATGACATGAATGAGCGCGATTACGTGTCATCCCTTTCCTTTCAGGATCCAATTGAGTTATCCGATAATGTGGCAAAGAATGTCACGAGTAAAGCTCTCAAAACGATGAGGCATGCAATGATGCTTTCGTTAGCCGCAATGAAGCAAAATGCGGATTCCTTTGCAGTGATGCTTCGTGTCTTGAAAAGTGACTCGACAAGCTCTTCACCAGCGCCAAATATGCCTCCTACAGGTAGGTCTTCCGTCCATAAAGAGAAGAGCGTACTGCTGATCATTGGGGTTGTTCGTACGAATTGGTCGAGCTTCGAAAATTTATTGAAATTACTTTTGTGAATGCATTCTCAAGTGATTCATTTCAGAAGGATCTTGTCGTGTCTCTGGATTTCCGGAGGGATTCGATGAGGGTACAGCTGAAACGGTACTTACTATGATTCTCTCTGCAGTTCTCTATTGTGAGACTCCGGCAGCTCCCGCAAAAAGGATTCGCTTTGATTGTGTAAGCTATCCATACCCCTCACTGCATACATTCCGCAAATTTTTCTCATTTTTTAGAAAAAAAAATCTTCCACTTTCTTGTTTTCACAGTAGTTTTTGTGTTTGCATGTGTTGTATTTTTACTTCCATTTCATTTCCATTTAACTTTGAACTGCTGCTTCAGGAAACAGCGGACTTGGGAACTTTTGTAGCGTGTAAGAAACTATGGATGTCAAGAAGAACGCTCCGAAAGAAGTGGAGTGGATTGCTGAAGCCCGATGAGCAGTTCCCTCTGCTTATCGAGGGCCTGGTGAGTGCTTCTTTTACCCGCATCCGACGTCGGGTGACAGCGTGTCAATGTGTCTTCCCATAATGGACAGTCATGTTTAGGTGTCCATGTCTTTGAATTCCACGGCTCCTAGCGATTGCGGTCTGCTATTTCATACCTTCTTTGATGTTCATAAGGATTCGCTTTGGTGAGTGAGGTTTTTTGAAAATGAAAAAGTATTTCATTCGTATTTATCAGATGCATAGAAAATAAATCTACGACCTCGCTTGCGAAATTTTTCTACCTTCCATAAAATGTCCAACAGCTCTCTCCAAATCACTCTTAACCACTAAACTGACTCTTAAAATGCTAGGAGTCTTATAATTCATTTCGATTGTAATGAATACTGTCTTTAGGGTTGGTTTGAAGCTGATGGAAGGCGAAGCGGTCGATGTAGCGAATGTGGCTCACTTTATTGAGCAAATGCTGACGAAGACGCGTGATTATTTACTCAATGACAGTATGGGTAGAGGCCTCATGCCTCTGGACGATTTCACATCGCAGCTGAAGATAATATTCGAACGCGAGAAGCATCAACTAAAGTAGGAGCTCTCTTTGTTTTTAAATAATTGAGTAGTTCTCTTTTTTGCTATTATCACAACGACGATGTTCTGATTCTAGTATTAATGCTGCCATTACGCGATACTCCTTGAAAATGTGAGAATTTGGCTGTAGGCGTCTTCCGTATTCACTTCAATTATTATGGATTGCATCCTCTCCGAAGGTTGGCCCAGAATTGGGGTAAATGAAACCTAATTTCCGCGAGGCATTTTGCTGCTTAACCATCGAGCCATGTGAATCTTCGCCGCTTGAATTTTAGCTGACCGAATGCGGCATTACAAATTGGCGGCCCAGACCGTGGTCATGAGTCTGGCGACCTTGAGATTCCCATCGGGTGGATTCACGTCGATCACACGTGCGATCGCAGAATCGCTTGTTTCAGAACTGCATGGTCGGTTTGTGCTACTCCATAAATGAATTCCAACAATGAAGGAAGCGGTCGCAGGGTGTGTGGCCATGGAATTAAAGGAATCTTGCGCGGAAAAATCATGATTCTATTTCAGCCATAAATCACTGGCTTGAGACTCATTATCCACGATAATAGTGAAAAGAACTGAAGTATTGCTTTCGTTTTGATTAGAAATTCGAAAACTCGAAAAGGCTGCTACGCGTTCGAATTGCCCACGGACGTCTTTCACGAATGCTGGCGACGGGGATGCTCAAACTTGGTTCTTGGAGTGCATTCACTAGAAGCTCTTTCTGGCCTTCTGCTTCGTTGCATTCACATCTTACACTTCTACTCCATCCTATTCCATCGATCGATTTGTCTCCACTCTCCGAAATCGCGCGCTTTAACCCGATTCTCTCATTGCGTCGCCTGGTACGTAGCCGGCCAAACGCCGTCTTCTTTCCATGCCTCGCCTGGCTCTGCCTCCTGGTCCTTCGATGGTCCATAACGTGTAGTTTTTGTACGTTTGTTTCTCTTCAGAAACCGAATCTTCATGCGTGAAACTTTGTGTGCTATTTCCAGTGATCACAACTGACATATTCATGTTAGGAAAGAGTGCAAGAATTTTCCGCGCAAGATTCCTTTAACACGTTGACGACAACGCGCGTTTTGGCTTTTTTGGCCGCGTGGGACCGGGGCGATTTTGCGAGCGCGGACGCCTCAGGTAATTCAAGCGGATTTTGAGTGCTAAATACATAAAACATGGGTGATGCAAAATCGAAACAGTGACTTCAAGTAAGTAAAAGCTTGCAAGGAGTATAGTAATGGAATTTCGATACAAAGACTTGAAATAAGAATGAAAATGCAAAAATTGTCAGAATTAGCTACAAATTGACTTGAAAAGCTATTTCACTTTTATCATTTTAACAAAAACACATATGTTATCTATCTCTAGGACACTTATTTACTTCTACTAGTCTTTTAACCTTTACAGTCATGAAGAGAAATGAGAACGAAAGATTAATCAGACTTAGAATTTTGTGCGGTTGGAAAATCCTCCTCCTAAATTAAAATATACGTGACCATTTCGCGAGCTCCTATGTTTGTAGCCAAGCTAGGGTTTCTTCCATGGAGTAAACACAATAAACTTAGAAAAGAATACGCGTGCGCTGAAAAAAAGGAACGTAATGGGTGCAGGACACATACGTCCCGCGCTGTCCGTCATGGCCTGCAAAGTGCGGGACGTATGTGTCCTGCGCTGTCGTCAACGTGTTAAAGCAGCATGCTTGTTGCTTCCAATTGGGGATGTCCGCACTGAAAAATCCTGTTTTCCGTGTCCAGCTCCTTTGGAAGTGCTCCCATCAGATCCTCAATTTGGCGCTATGGAGATTAAGTCCACTTTCATGGCAAGTAAGTTCCAGCAGTCTTGCTTAGGTACATTCAAGGTGCTGTACTGCGATATCAATTGATCACTATGCTTTCCCGTGGATCTCGTTCGGGTTGTTCATCTACCTCGGTGATTGTTTCACGAATTTGTTGATTTTTTTATGCTGAATTTTATGTTTCAGATAATAAATGTTTCACAAAACGAAAAATACACTTCGACAAATTATGCCATTCATTCCCATTATTTTTTTTCTTTTGTTATATACCTGGAAGGGGGGGGTCATTAGGATTAGCTTCTCAAAACTTTTGTTATAGGGGTTTCATCTACGCACGCCTGCGAATACCTTCTAAAAGCAAACAATTCTCCCCGATTGAAATAGGTTGGTCCATAAGTCTTGCAACAAACTGGCTGGCCAAATTTTGATTTTAATATTTTTGTTATCTTTTTGTTCCATTCATCCAGCATGATACACACCATCAATATCTACAACCTATTGCCAACGCACTAGAAGCTGTTCGATGCCTCTCTTGTAGAACTCTACTGAATTCTGATCGAAGAAAGATCAGATGTCGATTTTGACATCATCATGGTTAGGATGAGATTTCTTCTCTAGGACGTGGTCTGGAGAGGGAAGCAGGTGGGCATCCTTTGGCACGAGGTCAGGGCTATAAGGTGGATACGGAAGAACTCTCCGTCCGAGAGTCCAAAATTTTCCTGGATTTTCTTAGCAAGAGGTGGTTCAACGGTGTCATAAAAAAGCAAACTTTGCCTTGCTTTTCTTTCGTATTGAAAGCGTTGCATTCGAGCTGTGGATGGTTGACTTCGCGTTGACTGCGACATCTACACGAAGGGTTTCCAGAGCTCAACTCCTCTCGTGTTCCACCAAAAATCCGAGAAGGCCCTACTTGGACGAGGTTGAACTTAGCAGTAAGAACTCCCGAAGCGTTTGAGCTGGACTACCGCCGCTTGTTTATTTGTTAGCACACTGTACCCACTCCTCATCTTCGGCAAATGTGATGGATGGTCAATCGAAGAATCCATAGTAAGTCGACTTGAACATAACGGATGTCAGATCGTGTTTGGAGCTGAATCGGGCTCAAGGCATGTGGGGATCCAAACTCTATATTTTCGGATCTTCACAAGTCTTTGGAGATGCCACAGTGCTGTCTCCTTGTCGCATCAGAATTGCTCTAGCAAATGATCGATACTCTATCCAGATCCCTTTTCAACAGCGTCAGATAGAGCATCGTGATTGCCAGTCACAGGGTGGTTGGAGTGTGGATCATCTTCAAATAAAAAAAGTCAACGCTGAGCAGAGTGAAGCGCCTTGCACCGTGAATTGAGAGAGCGTGCCCTCGCCCATCTTCTGGCTAATCCTTGGTGTAGCATGACTTGCGGAACATTCCAAGCAGTACTCGTAAAAATTAAGGGCACGAAGACCTTTCGCGAAATCGGTGTAATATCCATAACAAGTAGCGAGACAACGAGCTGGATGGTTGGCTGAAATTGCAAAGGTGGATGCTACGTCAGCAAACATGTTGCGGGATTTTCGGAGTTCTCACAAAAATTCTCTAGCATTAAATGTAATTTGTTGCAAGACTTATGGACCAACCTAATATATAAAACCCCCTCTTGCTGGTAGTTTCCTAAATTTTCGTCAGTTTTTGAAAAAAAAACCGAATCGTTGGAAAAAAAATGAAGTTTTCAAACCTCAACTATTTGCAACCGCGGTTTATGCGACACCTGCGGTC